ATATATATATATATATATATATATATATATATATATATATATATATAGATAGATAGATAGATAGATAGATAGATAGATAGATGTTTTAATACTTTTTCAAAATAACAAAACCTGCAATCTTGCACAGTCCTGTTATAAGTCTTCAAAGCTACTTCCTCGTGTGTTGTCACTTTGATCTAAATCATGCATGCTAGGATGACAGCTGGTACACAGCCTGAGGGGGTGAAAGTAATTACAGGTACGGTGTGGCAGCTTCTTGCTGATTGTAGCTTCACTTGAAACATTGGGAGGAAGAAAATGAGACCATCTGTGAAGTTAGGGGCAACATTTTTGTAACCCCAAAAAAATATCATAAAAAGGTGCAACAAGTTGAACCTGTGGGATACTCACAAATTTCTTTTTCCCATCTCCATCCTCACAGTTCTTCTTTGATTTCTTGTCCTTCTTGGGACCAGCTGCTGAGGCAGAGTTGCCCGTGTGTGGATCCATATTTATAACTTAATCCGTCTCCTTCAATTAGGTGTTAGAATAAACCTGGTAATCTCCCCGGACAAAGCAAATGTTTCCTCCTACGATGTTTCCTAACTTTGCGAAGAAGCCACTCGTTAATTCCCTTGGGCCTAAGCTAACTTAGCCACAATTAGCACAACGTTGCTAATGATTTGGTAGAAAGCCAACGTTACACCGGACGAGCCCCTCGCTAAGCCGCCTGTGTGTCCCACTGAAGGAGGGAAATTCAAAGCACAGCCCCAAGTCGTCGGGACGTAAAGTACAAAAACAAATCTGTTGCGTTTATAGAAAACAAATGCGGATTTATTCTGCCATTAATGGTATCCATATGGAACACAACCCGAAGCTTTAAACAATTAAGTCGCGAAAATATCCGGCACTAACTAAGCTAGCGTTAGCTTTAGCTAGGCTACAGTAGGTGAAAAAAAACTCTTCCCACTTTCACGAGTTGTTTCGGCGAACGTAACACGGGCGGGGAGTTGGTGTTACGGATAATTTGGCCCGACTGCGTCTCCTAAATTAGTTCCCATGACTCCTACAAGTTTCGTAAACTTTTTAACCCCTGGGTGACTGCGTCTGTGGCTGAAGAGGAGTCTTCCTGTTCTTCTGACAGTCCGCTCAGAGCTGGTTGTGGGAGGAGCCTAAGCTCTGCAGCGACACCTGAGAGGATTTAGATGACAGTTCTGCAGAGACTGCACTGAGATCATCAGAGCTCCATGAAAGAGTTAACGAACAGGGATCCCCGGTGTAATGAGGACGAGTCTCACTACTTGCTATCATGGCTACGATGGTGGAACGAACTCAGGACAGCAGGAACTCTACACGTCTTCGGATGCAAACTGAAAACCTCCCTGTTGAGACTGCACCATGGCCCATTAAAAATAAAGAAATAAAACCTCTTTCTTACTGTACATATAGATACATATATTTAAATTTGTGTGTGTTATGTTTACCTTTGTTTTACTTGTTTTTTAACCATATGTAACAAAATACTTGAGTCAAGTTACTTTTAATACCCAGTGTTTAATACCCAAATGATCTTTATTCTATTGTGGTGTCCTCGGTATTGAAACAGAAAATGTACCCATAAGCTCAGAACACCCTGGGTGCTCTCAGTGTTATCTATAACATCGTTCCCCTATTCATTGTTTCTGGAGCAGTTTCAGACTTTGTACTTGATGGCATCCATAATTTAAGTTTTAACATTCTAAATTGTTTTATTTGGGACATAGTTTTTCTATTTACTGACATTTTTTAACTGTCTTAGACAAATGTAATAACAGTACAGTATGAATTTGAAAATCGGCGTGGTTCCCCTTTAACTCTAATTCTGATGTCACAATGTAATGTGTCACGGTTGGGTCATCATCGAAAATCCTCAAAGAAAAAAAAAAACCAGATGGTCAAGTCATAAGTCAAACTAGCAGTGTAGTAGAATAACCCACCACCAGGAGCCAGCAAAGGCCAGTTTATCTGAATATTGATACAGCAAGTACAATGTAATGGTAGGCATTACTGTACTTTAACAGTTCAGCACTAAATCACTTCAAGGGACACTCAGAGTGCAGTTTGAAGAATATACTTTTTCCCCATGTTATTCTATTCATGTAGTCTATAAGAGAGAATGTATTGCATGTCGTTAAAAACCAGAGTGATCGCTCCACAGCCATTGTCACTGTTTCTGTTGTAATTACTTATCGCATTACAAAATCCATCTCTCTCTGTGACACTTAATTCTCTCACTCCCCGATGTTACACAAGCAATTAATCATATCTCGCATATCTGGAAAGGGAGTCGGCTGATGTAGCTAAGCGAGATCTTACTTGAGCAAGTGTTACAATGATTATTATTATTATAGAAACCCCCTTTCCTTGTGAAACTTATATTGGTGCTGCTTCTTTTCGGTTCCTATTTCCAGCAGGTGTTTTTCTATATACGTTGTAGATGTGAAGTTTCATACTGTCCAAACAAATAATCCGACTTGGGGCGCCACCAAGCGTTGGCAAGCGCTGCACTCTCAGTGGAGTTAATGTCCAGCAAAGTTAATGTGCCACTAGGATGCAATTGTGGTGTTTTTGTTCTCTAAAATTATTTCTTTGTATTCACTGATGCGATTTGCACTGGTGGCGCTTAGAGTTGGGGAAAGAAGATTAGAATATACAAGGCAACTGATTTAATCAAGAAGGCACATATTGTTCTGAATATGCTGACTAAGTCGACCCATCTAAGCGGAATGTCTTCCAAAACAGTAGTTGGTCGGTGATTATGAATTCAACACTCCGGGCAGATCTAGTTTTATGTCCCTCGCTTGCAATGCTCCTCCGATTCAGAGAAACGATTTGGAATACGCACCACAGACAACAATACGCACTGTGTTTGTATAAAGTCCAACACTTGAAATGCAACGTGTCTCTTACCTCTCAGACGTACACAAAGCTGGGCGCGCACACGACCACACACACGCACAGGATTACAGAGATAGTCTCATCTATCTGTCTTGGTATGGGAGAGATGTTTCCAACAACAAGATTGGAGAGGATTTGCGCATCACCGGTGGCACTTAAACCGACAACAGTTTAGTTTATCGCACAGGTATCGTCATAAACTTCAGTCAGGTCTTCATTACCTGGTGTATTGGCGCTATACTTTGAGGGGGAGAGGTTAATTAAAAGTGAAAGTGCACGGTAAGGCCAGCAGCCCTATGGCACTCGTGAGAACGCCTCTACGGACGTATTAAAATGATTAACAGTTGGATCTTCACATCAGCAGCTGCAGCATCATTTTCAGCATTGCCATTAATACGCAGGCGGATAGATGAAGAGACTGCCACTCAAAGCCATTTGAATATCTTTATGTGACGATATAGAAACAGTCTGTAATTTAATCAGCATTTTACATGGACGACTTGTGTGTTGATTGTTTCATTTCACGAGACAAGACAGTTAAGTTACAGTCATACAAAATATTTTATATACAACCTACTGTGTAGGCTACTCTTTCTGTTACCCTATGTCACGTTTCTATGGAAAAAAAAAAAAGAAAAAAGAATCTTGTCTGAGCCAGTGAGAAATACTGCGAATTTGGACCCCAATTGCAGGCGCTATAGGTCACATTTGTAAGCAGATGAATCAACACAAGCGTAGGAATATACTGTAAAGCAATACATCATTTATTTCCAAAGTGCAATACGGGGACCACGAGTTGGTTGTAGGGGATGATGGATTGTTTCACATTTTATTCATTAATCAACAGAAAATAGGCTATATGAGTCCCTAATTCGACCAGGATTATAGTCTAATGTTATCTTTCCACCTGCAGTGGGCCCATTCAGTGTTGATCTTCCCAAATAGCCCCCCATGGTCCGAAGAGCTATCTTTTTGGGATAGTGCTGTGGGCGTTGAAGTGGAAAATATCGGCAACATTTGTTCAACCGAGACCCTGACAAATCAGGTTTTATTTAGGCCTGTCTACAAATTCTAAAAGGCAACGAATTCACGAGTCCTGTATACGTGCAGCAGCAGTCCAGGGGTGGACAGTCAGTCCTTCGACCCCCACAGGAGTCTCACTAAAGACCCGGTCACAGAGATCTGTCCTGGTGGGGGTCTTGTCTAGCTACTTGTAGGAGGTCCGGGCCTCTCTCAGCGACCTGTCATATGGCATGGAGGCGAAGAAAGAGTTCCGCAGCTGGCAGTTGATGAAGAACACAATGAGCAGCACCAACAGGAAGAGCAGTAGGCACATGACTATGTAGGTGATCAGGTCCGGTTTGTGGAGCTCGCCCTCCCGGAGCCCCCCTCCCCCTCGCCCCGTGGTGGGTCTCAGAAGAGCGGCGACGCTCACCGAACCGCCGTGAGAGGCATTCAGGGAGGAGGGGCCGTGCGTGGAGGACTGGGCCATGAGCACCAGGTCGAAGTCTGGGGTGTCAGTGGAGTTGAGGAGGATCTGCCTCAGCATTGTGCCCCGCGTGCTCACCGGCTGGAGGATGAAAAGACGGAGAAGGTTATGTAGTACTGACCCCGCGTCCGTTCAGTCTGGGTGTGTGTCCTGATGCACCGATCAAGATGAATCAGTGATTCCTGTGTGATAAAAAATCCAGTCATCTCATTGCACCCATAGCTTAATGTCTGACAAGGTCACTCATAAACATCCAGTGACACTGATAATATAAACTGTATGTACAAATCAGGTCATAGCGATACCATAAGTGATCTTGAAAACACCATGAAGTAGGCTGGAGGCTAGATTAAGTATAGCCTACAAACAATAAATTCTTCAAAATATCATAGGACCTTGTAAGGGAATAACTTACTTTGGTTTGTGCTGCGAAGAGTTCCGCAGGTGAGCTGGAAAAAAACAAAATCCCGGCTCCGCATTCCTCAGCGTTCCCGGTTCTCTCCGCTCCAGCCCCGCCGAGGACGCGCTGTGAAGAAGCGGTGGGTTTATAGCTTCAAATCTGCGCCCGCAGACCATGAGTTGCTGAGTGGGATATTAGCAGAGCGTCTCCCCTCACATTAATTAAACAGAACTAATCAAATCCACGTGTCAGCGCATGGGTCCCGGTGAAAGAGCACATTACCGATTCCACTTGTTGGCGTTTAAATCCAAACCGTTCTGCCACGCGCGTGGTTAAGCACCGACTGCGATAGGCTACCGGACACAAATCCTAATGATAGGGTCTGCCAGAGGTGGTGAAGTTCAACGGGCGATCTCCAGTGCGCATCTTGCGCGTCTTGGTGCGCAGTTAAACGACATCTCATTTGCTTGTGCGTACCGGGCGCAGAGGAAGGACACGCCGGACGTCTCCAACCCTTCGCTCGTTCTTTTATCCAGCTAAGCGTCGATACGTGTCAGACAGATGCTACCGCCGACGGTCTGACCTTACAGGATTATCGATCCAGTATGACTACAATTTGACGAAAGGAGGGATTAATGAAGGACAAAACGCAGCAGCACCCTGGGTCGTGAACACCTTCCCATCTCCCCCGTACTCTACGTATGTCAAAGCGAGAGGGAAAGAGAGAGAGAGAAAATTGCAGATCAGGAGAAGGGAAGGAGGCACGTCACCAGACAGGGGTGTGTTACTATAAAGAGAGAGTCACACAACAAAAGTCCTGTCTATCTATCTCTCTATCCATCTATCTATCTCCATTTTACAGTATCCCTCAGATTATTTTCAAAGCAATGAGAGAACATTGAGACTGTCCATTTCTGGGTCAGTGTGGGGAATGTCTCACACTGGGGTGACATCAGGAGAGGGTGTGAGATTGGTGAGGGTGTGTAAAAACTCATAGGGAGTGATTACATTTGAGAAAAGATCTACCAGGAGGTCTTTTGTCTGAGTCTTAGCCTGACTCATCCTCAGTCCATTTCCTTTCTGTAAGATTTAAAGGGCATTAAAACTGCTCTGCAGCTGCATCTCACATGACCTTGTCTGTTTGTTAAGAACATGTGTGCGTGTGTGTGTGTGTGCTCTCAGTGAAACTGATTTGACATTGGTGCTATAGACACTAAAAAGAAGGTGTTGAGGGTGGAGATGGGAAGCCAGTTTGCTCTCAAACGATGTTACGGACATGAGCATGCATACAAAGGGCCAGACCCTAAAAGCTCTACCAACCTATTTCATATTCATCTGCACCTGTTCTGTCACAATAGAATGGCTGGCAGGCATAGAGAGCAAGGACAGAGGGACACACACATACACACACACACACACACACACACACACACACACACACACACACACTGCATCAACAAAATACATGAAACCATCCCCAACTTGGAAACTTTGATGCAACACACACATACACACAGACAGACAATAAAAAGTTTGAGGTATGCACTGGTCTACAAATAAACAAAAAGCTGGCGATGTCCTGGTGTCCCACATCAACTCGATTCAGCAATAAAAAGGATTAGGGTACGGTGAAATGCATGTCACATGGGAAATCTAAATACAGCCAGAAGCCTAGTTTACATGTGGAGGGACAGCAGTAATTGTGATGGCTAAGGAGATTACTGTTTATTATTGCTTTTTGGAAGAGGAACTCATTCGCTGCTACGGGCTTGCTGCTATCCTCATCAACATCACACACACACACACACACACACAAAGGCAATCTGACCCATTTTGCCAAAATGCGTGAGTGCCTTCAAGTGGTGATCAGTGTTTGATTTGCAAAAAATCCACTGCGATGTTGCCAACAGACCTAACTCACCCGTCACAATCATGTGATGTTGGTTTAGTTAAAAGGAAAACGATGAAAGAGAGAGAGAGAAGGGTTATGATAAACCATGTCGATTGATGCCTTGCTCTGTGACTAATTGTGAGAGTTATCAGTCTTTGCTCATTAGCTGCTCCCGATGACAATGGAATTTGGATTAGGAACGGTGAATTGTAGTTCTCCACCACTTATATATATGTCAATAAGAGTCTCCACTAACTGGAGCCGCTCTCATCCTCCTCGACACTGTCAGGCATCACGTCAGACAAAACAATGACCTCTCACCTGCTATGTGTTTGTGTCATACATGCACACAGATGGGAACACAACAGACTCTGCACACCACCGACCGTCTTTCGCTCTTTCAGTCTCTAACTCCCTCATGTCTCTGTTGTGTGGTCCGTCTCTCTCACTTCTCTTCAAGTCTTCCCTCCTTCTCTCTCTACACCCCTTCTGCTTCTCTTGCTGTTTCTTAATCCTTTAAATCCATAAAAAAAGAGGGAAAGAGACAACTCGCCCATGAAGCACTGTGAGCTCAATATGTAGATAAACAAGAAAACTAAAAGTTGTGGGATTTCTTTTTCTTATTTTGATAATGTTAATTTTACAGGATGAAAAAAAAAATAGACGGCGAAGAGCTTAAAAGAAGCTTAATGTTTCTGCTGATGAGACATAACCAAAGCAAATGGCAGGCCTGCAAGTCAACAGGGATTATCTATGTGTAGCCTACACACACCAACCACTTTTTTCTCTCATTTCCACACACACACACA